GATCGAACACACCATATATACAGTCTGATCACTCTTCCTCCCGAGTCGACATGGGATGCAATATATAAAATTATAGCACCTCTTCGCATCACAAAACCTTTTGACGGACTACTACACTCTAGAATTGGTTTAAATTCAAATTTGTCATCTTAATTTCAACTCATCTTCAAATCACATGAACCCGAACAAAAATGAAGAAGTATATGGTACAAAAAAAAAAAAAAAAAATTGGTACCGAACTGCCATTTTAATTTGTATGGGTATTTTTATAATTTTTGTAGATGTTTTATCATTTTTTATCATAACTTGAGATCAGCCATGAAAATGTTAGGATCGATCACAAAACTACCACAAAAATGATAAAAATATCTACAAAAATTTTAGAAAAAATGTTTAAAAAAATCCACAAAAAATTATAAAAATTATAGTATGTTATTGTAGTCTTATCCTAACCTATATCGCATGGAGTGCAAATGTGAGCGGAGCGAAGGTGAGAGTGTAAAAATAGCAACATTTAAAAATATTTGAGAGCGAAAACACTTTTGGGAGTGCCATATTTTGAAAAAATAAAATATTATATATAAGCTAGTCCTTTTTCTTTTTTTTTTCGCATAAAGCTGGTGACAAATTTGTTTACATGAATTAGCAAATTTATTACGTATTCGATCCCAACTCGCGAAATTCACGCGTGGAACGTGAGAGCCTGGGTGGATATAGACGAATTGTTTGACTATAGACGAATTGTTTGACTTAGATCCCAACAATAATGGATTGGTGCTTCGTCCGACAAGAGACCATGCCATAAAAAGGCTGAATGGCATTTCTATCACGTGGCGTGATATAATTGGCTCAGAAAAAAGTGTTGGACCCCACCACCACAATCTATGTCCTGATCCCATCATTTTTGGCAATCAATAATGAATGACTACGAATAGAATAATTATTTTTTGTATTTATATTAATAATTATTAAAAGTTTAGCGGGTCCATTGAAAAATGAATCCACGACTTCTAGTCCTTGGATTGGGCTTTGGTTTCCAGAAGCCTATCACCAACTTTTCAACTCGTACGTTGGACTGGTTGTTGTTATATTTAGATGTGAAAATTCAAAGTAAATTTCCGTACATACTTATTTAAAGATAAACTTATAAGCGACTAAGTTTATGTTTAAAATTATATGTAATAATTTAAATCTATTTTTTTTTATTATCTCAAAAATATTCTTCTTTTAAAGGAATTTAATCTTTTTTTTATATCTATATATATTCATGTATAAGTTAAGAGTTTGACTAATATTAAAATTTTTCTTCTCTCTTATCTATCTATATCTATATATAAGTTAGACATATATATAGTAACATTAAAAAAATAGTAACATTCAAATACAAAAAAAAAATTACTATGAATTTGAATAGTAAAATTCAAATTCATGTTACTATATTTTTTTTATTATGTTATTGTTCATATACTATTATTTTTGAACATGTTACTGTTTTTGTTGACCATGTTATTACTATTATTTTTTTTAAAAATTAATATTCAATGTTACTATTTTTTTTAATATTACTATTTTTTGTATTTGAATGGTACTATTTTTTTTATTTAAATTTGAGAGAAATAATTATCGTTAAGTGTAGAGGCAAAAAATCGGAGATACCTCTAATGGTGAATTTGCGATGTGATTTCTGGAAAAGAATACTGAACAATCTCTAAATCTCTTTCCTGCAAAACGAACAAACTGTTCAAGATCGAAATGCTTTGATCGAAGACACTCTGATGCTTAAGTCAGTAATGGAACAAAGAGAATTGCACCAAGATAAGGAGAATTCAGTGTACCTTTCACCTTGGTCTCTTCTGCTTTTTATATGTCATTATCCCCTTAGCGTTTCCACGATTTTAGATTCAAGATGACACACCTTCCTTTAATTCAGTAGTTGAGTTTGAGAAGTAATTGATACTTCTCCAATAATTTCTCTTGATATCTTCGATTTCCTTGATTTCGTTTATTTGATTGCCTGAATTTTAGGCGAATATTTAACTTTCATTTTTATCGTTTTGAACTGCTTGGGCATTTCGAATGTCGAGCTCAATTAACTTTTGTCAAACTGTTTGGAAACTTGGCTTGGCACAAACCGTGCATTCTGGAGATCTGGGCTTGGTACAAACAGAGCACTTTCCTTGCATAGCTGAAGAGATTCATGAGCTCGGTAAATTGAGCCGCCCTCTTTTCTTTGTTTGCCAAATTCACTGATCAGTTCGGGTCGGACCATAAGATCAGGTGGATGACTTTTTCGTCACGTGATCCATCTTGTCAATCTCACGTGAGCTCATTTAATGTTTTACTACGTGTAATTCTGAGGGCTAGCCCCTTCATTAAGTATGTTACAGTTTTTGTTAAACATGTTACTATTTTTGTTGAACATGTTACTGTTGTTATTTTTTAAAAATATTAATATTGAATGTTTCAATTTTTTTTATGTTTAAATATTACTATTTTTTTGTGTTTAAATGTATTATTTTTTGTATATAAGCTCTAATTAAGGGTGTCACTGAAGCTTTAGATAATACATGGGATCTCTTTGAAGATATGCCTTCTATTTTATTAAAATTAAGGGTATCAAATTAAAATTATTTTATTAATTTAACACTAGAGAATGCCTACTATTTTAAATAGAAAGATATAACAAGAGGACATCACATTGATTCAAACTTTGTGTATATATAACAGTAGGGGTAAAATAGGTAACTAATAGGAAAATTAGTTATTACGTCACAAATTTTTTTGTTTGGCAGTAATAGAATTGATGGTAAGAGTGATTTCTGAAACGCATATATAAACTATAGAAGTGTGCAATGATATTTCCAAAATTAACAGGAGTTTCAATAAAATATAACCTAAATTTAGGGAGTGTCAATGAAATTTATTCTCATAAAAATTATGAGTAATAAACGGATATGCTCATTTTGGATCATGTAAGAAATAAAGAAAGCATATATACCTTTCTATTTCTCAATCTTATTAACTCCATGATTAACACTATGCAACTAATTTAGAACAAAACTAACTCCTCTATTTTTGATCTAAATTCCCCAAATTCAAATTCCATTTCATGGAGTTAGGTGAATAATGCTAAAATACTATATAAATCTCTTTTCAACTTATTCACACTTCTTTTCTACCTGTCCCTTCCTACACCAAATCCTTAAAAAAAGTTGCTGCACTTATTCTGATTTGACTATTAAAATGTATTTTATTTAAATTTTTTATAACAAATTTTATGAAAAAAAAGAAGAAATAACTCCTAGTTTTCAGTACAAAAAGCCATTAAAATGTGTAATATTTATTTAAAAAAAATTAAGTTCTATTTTAAATGATGTTGTACCCGTGAAGTTGTAATTGTGTTATTATTATATTTTTGCTCATTGGCTCTAAATCACCAAAATATTATTTGACTTTGGGTTAGCACGTGTTCTATGTATGACCTATCAATAGATCAAATAAATTTGATTCGTATTAGAAATTGATTAACAAATTTTGACCAAAATTTAATTTGAATATGTAAAGATTTTTAGTTTTACAATGTATTCGAATCATTAAAAATTAGAATCGGAACCAAAAATCTTAATTGATCCAATAAATATGTTTAAGCTAGATTTTATTAAATTGAATATGAATTTAACTAAATTTCATCAATTAATCATTGAATTACATAATATATATTTTTATATATATAATACATCGAATTGTATTTGGACCAAATAACGACTAATCAATCTCAAATTTGGATTAAAATTGGACCAAAATTCAATCAATTGACAGACCCCATATATATATAACTATAATTTCAAGTATATAAAGCTACAAAAAATATAATTTTTAAATAAATAAAAAATGAAACAAAACATATTATCAATGGAGGTTTAAACTTTATGAAATTCAGTTTCTAAAACAAAATTGGATTGTCTTAATATAATATGATAAGTTTTAAGATTTTTTTTATTATAAAATAAAAATAATATAATAGATATTTTTATAATTTTTTGTGAATTATTTTATAACTTAAAAATTTACTATTGTTATGAGTTTTTTTATCATATTTGTGATAACTATTTTTACCACTTTTATTTGATATAAAAAATTTATTACATTTGTGGGCATTCTTATTATATTTGTAAGTATTTTTATCATATTTTTGAATGTTTTTATTACGATTATGATAAATATTTTTACTATTTTTTGGGGTACCACAATAGTGGTAAAGAACCCACAAATATTATAAAAATAACCAATGTAAAAAATGGAGATATGGTACCGTTTTTTTTTTTTTTGCACCGTAATCAAATTCACAAACTAGATACGATATCGATTTTAGAAATTGTAAATTTTATTACATCAATCGAGTGTTACGATCCATCATCAAATAAAAATAAGGTTGATTTTTAGGAATAACTTCTACCGATGAGTTCATAACATATAGTGAACCCATTACACCTGATAATGCTTATACGCAGTAAAATCCACACGAACTTGATTGCACAGTAGTTTGTTGGGGTTAAACTTATTCTTTAGCATGCAGTGAAACTTTAGTTTCGGCCCCGATATTGGTACAATGAGAGCTCGAATATGTGAAGTAATTTGTCAGTATATCTATTTGATGTATTAAAAGAGACAATTTAAACGTCTTTTGTAAGTTCGGCACAATAATTAGGGCTGTTAAATAAATCAAGTTTGAACATTTTTTAAAGTTCGTTTATGTGTAAATAGTCAAACGAGCCAGCTTGTTTATGTGTAAATTCAACTTAATTTAGGCTCGAATTCAGCTCGATTAACATCCCTAACACAATGCAGGCATGCATATATTTATTCAACAATAACTAATTATATATAGTCTGCTCAACCAATATAAGATACGTATCAATCATTATCAAACTTATAGGCATGTACAATGTACTAAAAAAAGCAATATAATGCACCAGCAATTTTCTATTCTTACAAGCTAAATGCATGCAAACAATGGCAGTATAAGGAATCATAACTGCCGTCCCAAAAGCAACTTATCATCTCCAGACTCCAAGTGTGTCCATAGTTTCATAAAGATGCCTTTCTCTCTCTGCAGAGCTGCTGCTTTCTCTCCCTTCTTGCTTGCAAATTCACACTCAGGTATGGTGGGTCCGGTCCAGAAAATCACACAGGAATAGAAGGTAATCAATCTCATATATTTCCATTCTGTATCCAGTTTCTCCAACTGTTGGGTTTTCCCAGTACAAAGAAACCAAAGAAAAAAAAGGGTTTTTCAGGAGGATGATTTTCATTTTTTGGTTTGTTTCAGTAGATTCTTCTTCTTCTTCTACTGATTTTTTTATTATTATGCTTCTTTTTTTTTTCAGGGGCTAGTGTATGATAAGAAGCAGGTTTTCAAGTCAAGTGGGTTGGTAATATTAAAGAAGATCAAAAGAGTGGTTCAGTACATGCCAGAAATCTGGAGCAAAATCAGCCGGATTGACATGAGTACTGCCAACTCATGTGCCCAGATGCTCCTTTGCCTTTAACTTCTCCTCTTTCCATGTTCATAATTTCATACATTTTTCTTAATGTAAAATACAACTCCATTACATGTAACATAATACATGCAAGAGTTCCCATCAGCAAGTGGTAACCATGGTAACAGCTTCATGGCTCTCATCCCTTGAATGTTCTCCCTCTATCAATCAATCTTCAGACACTCTTTCACTAGTATTCCAATGGATGGGCTTCATTTTTCTCTCTCCTTGTACCCAAAGAATCCTCTGGTCATCAGTTGACCTACTTTTGCTCTTCACCCTCGTAGTGCTTGGAGCCCAAAAGCTGTTTTCCAAGTTAACCTCAAAGGACACTACCACTACCAGCTCCTCCATTAATGAAAACCTTCTTGGAACTGATAAGTCTCAATTTAGAGTCAGCCTTTGGCTCTACCTATGTCTACTTGTCACAGCTCTATTGGGCATATCTTATGCTGTTATCAGCATATTAGGCTTCAGTCAAGGGATCAATTCACCATGGGGGATAGGAGAATCTTTGTTCAGGTTAGTTCAAGCAATAACCCAAGTTGTAATTTTGGTTCTTATTGCTCATGAGAAAAAGTTTGGAGCTATTTCTCATCCTCTGTCCCTTAGAATATATTGGGTTGCAAATTTTATTGTTCTGTGCTTATTCTCTGCTGTGGCTATCTTTCGGCTGATCTCTAATGGTGGAGATGTGAATCAATATGTCAAAATGGATGACATATTTTTCTTGGCTACTATTCCATTATCTGCTTTTCTTTTCATTGTTGCTGTTAAGGGGTCATCTGGGATTAGTGTGATTAGAGAATCTGAATCTGGTAGAAACTTGAGACCAGAAGGGTATGAACCCATTTTGACAGAGTCTGATGTGAGTGGCTATGGTAAGGCTTCTTTGTTGTCAAAAGCAGTATGGCTTTGGATGAATCCGTTGATAAATAAGGGATACAAAGCCCCTCTAAAGATAGATGAAGTCCCTACGCTTGCCCACCAGCATCGGGCTGAAAGAATGGCAGAGCTCTTTGAAACCAATTGGCCAAAGCCGGGGGAGCGGTCAAAAAACCTTGTATTAACCACATTAATCCGATGCTTCTGGAAGGACATTGCCTTCACTGGTTTCCTTGCCCTCTTGCGAGTGGCTGTCACGTATGTTGGTCCAGTCCTAATCCAAAGTTTTACAGATTTCACTTCTGGGAAAAGCAGCAACCCATATGAAGGATATTATCTAGTATTAATCCTCCTGATTGCTAAACTCATCGAAGTCCTCAGTTCACACCACTTCAATTTCTATTCTCAGAACCTTGGGATGCTTATTAGGTCCAGTGTCATCACTACCTTGTATAAGAAGGGCCTCACATTGTCTTGTTCCTCCAGGCAGGCTCATGGGGTAGGACAGATTGTGAATTATATGGCTGTTGATGCCCAGCAGCTCTCTGACATGATGATGCAGCTTCACTCGGTATGGACGATGCCATTACAAGTTGGTGTGGCATTAGCCCTACTATATTTTTACATGGGTGTCTCAATGTTTGCGGCATTGATAGCAGTCATTGCAGTTTTAATCTTCACTCTGATGCGTACCCGGAGGAACAATAGATTACAGTACAGTGTGATGATGAACCGCGATTTGAGGATGAAGGCGACAACAGAGATGCTTAACAATATGCGTGTGATCAAGTTTCAAGCATGGGAGGACTACTTCTATGAGAGAATCCGAGGTTTTCGTGCATTGGAGTATGGCTGGCTCAGCAAGTTCATGTACTCGATTTCTTGCAACTTGGTTGTGCTCTGGATCACCCCTGTTGTTATAGCAGTTCTTATATTTGCGGTTTCAGTTTTGTTGAGAGTCCCTCTTGATGCTGGGACAGTGTTCACAGCAACATCAGTAATAAAAATTCTACAGGATCCAATCCGGAACTTTCCACAGGCTCTTATTTCAATTTCACAAACAATGATCACATTAGGGAGGTTGGATAGGTACCTGACAAGTCGGGATCTTCAAGATGTCTTGGTGGAGAGAGAGGAAGGTTGTGATGGTCCTATTGCAGTGGAGGTGAAAGATGGGGGTTTTCGTGGGATGACGAAGGCAGTGAGGAGGTTCTGAAAGATGTGAATCTTGAGATCAAAAAAGGGGAGCTTGCTGCGATTGTTGGAACTGTTGGATCGGGGAAGTCTTCGTTATTGGCTTCAATTCTTGGTGAGCTGCACAAAATTTCAGGAAAGGTATGGCATTTTTTTTCCCTATAATATTGAGGAATGATGCCAATTTACTTTCACATGGCATAGGCTTTTTCTTTGCTGAGTAATAGTTGCTTGGTACAGCATAAGCTTCATATGGAAAATTATAGTTTTTCATTAGTTTTCTATATAGTGATTCCATTCACTTCATTAAAAACCTAGAGCAATTTAGCTTGCAATTGTTAAGCAAGGCCAGTCTTTTCAATGATTATTAACTTTAAACATCTTTGAACTACACCAGCTAGGATGAAGAAACCGAGTAATGCTTAGTTTGATCTGAACTCACTCATTTATCGGCCTACTTTAGGTCCTGTTTGATTAATTTTTAGACCTAATTATGGATTTCTATGCATTTAATATTTGCCTGTCTACACTATCTGGAAATTTGATCCGATGATTATAATTGTGAAATCATGGAGATAACACAATCAGGCTGGAATCTTTCAACCTTTGATTGAGAAATGATTAATATACTCTTTGTTCTCCAATTGGCATTATTTGGTTCTCAAAACAGATTGATAACTCTCTCATATTCCTTGTTGCTCGTGTTACAAATGTGTAGTTTTGACATTTCTTTTTTCTATCTGCAGGTCAGAGTTTGTGGGACTACAGCTTATGTGGCACAATCATCTTGGATACAGAATGCAACTATTCAAGAAAACATCTTGTTTGGTTCACCGATGGATAGGCAAAGATACAGAGAAGTAATAAGAGTTTGTAGCCTGGAGAAGGATTTGGAAATTATGGATCATGGAGACCGGACAGAAATTGGAGAGCGTGGAATCAACCTTAGTGGTGGTCAGAAGCAGCGAATACAACTTGCTAGAGCCATATATCAGGACTGTGACATCTATCTTCTTGATGATATATTTAGCGCTGTTGATGCCCAAACTGGATCAGAAATATTCAAGGTCACCACAAAGTCAATGCCATAACTAAGTGTTACCAGCATATATACTTTTTAGTGATAATATTTGATGTGTGCATTGGTGTTTCAAATTCTAAAAATATTAATATTGTCAAATGCATTGAGTTATAATGATCCATTTCTCTTCTTTTGGACAGTAGTTGATCATACGGATATAGTGGTGACTAGACTTTGATGTGGTCTGCCCGCAGAATATGCACATTTTCCATCTTTAATTGAATAAATGTTTTTTTTCCCCCCCGACTTTTCTTTGCCTTAAAAACTAGAATATACTGTCTTAACAAGGTAAAGTTAGGAAACTAATTTGGTAAGTTGTTGCAGGAATGCGTGACAGGAGCACTGAAAGATAAGACAGTTTTACTTGTAACCCATCAAGTTGACTTATTGCCCAATGCCAATCTTATATTGGTAAGTATGGTTCTTGACTTAGTAACGTTGAATTTCATGTAAAATTCTGGTCTCCACCTTATAACTTTACCATAGTGGTCATAACTGGAAATGATGAATGCACTTTGAATGCTCTACCACAGTACATAGTAGTTGATCAATTGGATTAATTCTCAGCCAAAGATGCTGATTCCGAACATCATTGCATCATTCTTGTACATAGCCAAGTATATTTTCATAGTTATAACTAAATGTGTTAGAGTGTGTTTAGGTATACATTAAAATATTTTTTTTCATGAAAGAATAAATTGGCATTTATTATCAGCCCATCAGGGGAAACAAAGGCATTCGAGATTACACAGTCTAGATGTGTTCGATTTTCTATGCAAGTAATTCCATAAGCTTGGAATTGTTACACTTTCCACTCTCATACATATCGTAAGTTTTTTCATAAAAGGTTACAGTCACATAGTTCTCGAGGCACCACTTTGACTGCACTGCAAAAATCCTTTTTATTACTCTCCTTATATTGTTTTACAATACTCCAGGTCATGCGAGATGGGAAAATTGTGCAATCTGGGAGGTATGAAGAGCTTCTTGAATATGGGATGGATTTTGCTGAACTTGTGGCTGCCCATCAAACCTCCATGGAACTTGTAGAAATGAACACTACCATGTCTGTTGACTACCCACAACAAACACCAAAATCACCTCATGCCTCCTCAAGCCCAAGGGAACTTACTAGTGAAAATAGGTCTTTAGACCGATCAAAGTCTCAAAAAGGAAATTCAAAACTCATTGAAGATGAGGAAAGAGAAACTGGCCAAGTCAGCTTAGATGTGTACAAACAGTATTGCACTGAGGCATTTGGGTGGTGGGGAGTAGCAGCTGTGATACTGGTTTCTTTTTGTGGCAGTCATCTCTTATGGCAAGTGACTACTGGCTGGCATACGAGACTTCAGATGAACAAATTTTCAACCCTTCTTTGTTTATCAACATATACTCAATCATAGCTGTGGTTTCGTGTGTAGTGGTGTTAATTAGAGCATTCCTTGTGACATTTTTGGGTCTGAAGACATCTCAGATATTCTTCAATCAAATTCTGAACAGCATCCTGCATGCTCCAATGTCATTCTTTGACACTACTCCCTCAGGAAGAATATTAAGTCGTGTGAGTTCTATTATCTTCTATTTCGGTACCTGTAAATATTTATAACAATGAACTGATGCAAAAATTATTTAATGACTCTGTATCTGGACTGATAAAAAATTCAATTTTCAGGCATCAACAGATCAAACCAACATTGACTTTTTAATTCCCCTATTTTTGGGTATGACAATTATGATGTACTTTGGATTACTTGGCGTTGTGATCATTACTTGCCAGTACGCTTGGCCAACAGTATTCCTCTTACTCCCAATGGTTTGGCTGAATATCTGGTACAAGGTATGTCCGTAACATATCTGTCTATAAAAAAGTTAGTCTATAGCAGAAAATCTCATGCTGTGTGTTTTGACAGAACTGAGCAGAATTCTTCATTCACTATTTTTAGTGCGTTTTCTTCACAAAAAAAAGTATAAAGATTCTATCCTGTTTGTCTGGATCGTCTGTAAATGGTTTTTAAGCCATGATTTTATGCTATGCTTCACATATTTCATGTTTACCTAGTTACAGTAGAGGCCTCTTTTCGGAATGAAAACACAATGTGTTGTGCCAGAACCCATCCAATTTATGGAAGGTTTCTTCTTGGATCAAGTATCCAAGACTTCAGTCAATATGTTGTATGGTCTGGAATTGGATCTTAAGGACATCCGATGATTTCACTGCTGCACTTGTTTTCAGCTTATGACCTACCGGTCTGTGCATTCTTGTCAAAACAAACACACCAGCCCATACCACTGGAACTGCACAAACACTCGCGTATATGAGGTAATTTTTATTTTAATATTCTTTATTTTTGGTTGTGCAGGGATATTACCTTGCGACATCTCGCGAATTAACCCGGCTTAGTTCAATCACTAAAGCCCCAGTCATTCATCACTTCTCGGAGACCATTTCTGGTGTCATGACCATACGTTGCTTCAAGAAGCAGAACAAGTTTTCCCAAGAAAATGTTGACAGGGTCAACGAAAAACCTACGGATGGATTTCCACTACAATGCATCAAATGAGTGGTTGGGGTTCCGCTTGGAAATGTTAGGGGCCGCTTTCCTCTGCACTTCAACCTTGTTCATGATTATGTTGCCAAGCTCTATTGTGAGGCCAGGTTGTTTTACTGCACTAATTAACCTTTTAAAAGATAACCCCCTTCTCTACAACATTTGTGTTCCAGACAATTATAGCAATCTGATCAACAAATCCCCTCTCATGCTGATTTTCAATTATGTTTTCTCTGATGCTTGAAATTAAGCTCATCCATTAGGATCTAAGCTGGAATCAATTTTTCACTGACTACGTTTTTTGTATGCCAGAGTATGTTGGTTTGTCTCTTTCCTATGGTCTGGGACTGAATGCTTTGCTGTTTTGGACCATATATGTGACTTGTACCTTGGAGAATCGAATGGTTTCCGTTGAGAGAATCAAACAGTTCATTAGAATCCCATCAGAAGCTGACTGGAAGTTGACCGGTTCAGGTCCCTCTCCCAACTGGCCCAGTCGTGGTGACATTGAAATAAAAGACTTGCAGGTAACTAATCCGGTTTTTTATTGGCATCTCTTATTGACATCTACTACTTCCATGAGGTGTTGCTAGCACTCTCATTGAGTAGACAATACCTATCTCTATATATGATAACGTTATCTGATGAAAGTTAGAACTTGTAGCTTTCTTGAGGAAGCTCATAATATTTCAACTTTGCCAGTAAAGTTTGGTTTTAGCTGGAATCAACATAGGGGTGCCGTCGGCCAGGGTTTTGCCACAATGTGAAAACTGACACATTGTGATTGTTATGAGTCTTGTGGTACAAAAAAAAAAAAAGAAGCTTGTGGAAGGAAGAAGTTAAAATACAAATTAATAACCCAGTGTTTTGAAATTTCTAGTCTAGTCACCCAAAGGATAAATGAGAACTAGGTATCTTTAACTGTGACGCATGTTAAAGTATGTTTTAGATCCCCTACATCTAGAGGTCCTTGGTGACAAAAATGCTTCCTGTGATTCTGGCAGGTTAGGTATCGGCCAAATACTCCTCTGGTTCTCAAAGGCGTAAATCTTAGCATCCATGGAGGAGAGAAGATTGGTGTTGTTGGCCGTACTGGCAGTGGGAAGTCAACTCTGATTCAAGTTTTCTTTAGGCTGGTTGAGCCTTATTCGGGTAATAACACAATAATAATTGATGGTGTTGACATTGCAAGCTTGGCCTTCATGAACTTCGGTCGCGTTTTGGGATCATTCCACAGGAACCTGTCCTTTTTCAAGGAACAATAAGAAGCAATATAGACCCAATTGGGTTGTATTCTGAGGAAGAGATATGGAAGGTACATATTATATGCTCTCCCGATTCTCTTATGTGCATTGTGTGCGTATGCACAAGAGCTCATGCAATAATGGCAGTCTATGTACTCTATAGCTAATGTCAATAAATCGATAATGTGCACTATTCTGCAGAGTCTTGAACGCTGCCAGCTGAAAGATGTGGTTGCTGCAAAGCCTGAAAACTTGATGCTTCAGGTCTCTTTCTCTCATCGTTTGTTATTTCCTTCAATTTTGTTCGCTACAGATTTCGCATCACTGGTCTATTTAGGCTTACAATTACCGCACTTTTATACTA